CCCCCCAGCCTCCATCTGGACAACTTTAACCAGCGCAAAACAAGAGTTCTACCAACTGGGAGTGGGTGAGCCATGATCGTGTTAGGGAAGTTACGGAATCCTGAACAGTTCGCAGCAGCTATTCCCGATCCTCCACCTCCCCCACACACTCACACAAGCACACGCAAGACAAACTCTCAAAAGTTTGGTGCAGAGAGCGAGGCTTACCAGCACCACTGCGGGGAGCGCCGAGGGGGCTCGAGAGGCCCAGAGCGGGCGTAGGGAGGTGGGCGAAGTGGCTCCACACCGCTCCGGCGATCTGCACCGACCGATCTTCCAGCAGCTGGCCTCGGCCGCCGCAGCTCCGCCCGCCCGGAGCTCGGGCTGGGGCCGCCCCCTCCGGGTGAACCCGCCTGGACTGCGGAGAGCGGAGAGGAGGTGGAGCCCCGGGCGGGAGAGGGCGGGCCTGGGAGCCCGAGCGGGAGATTAACTCCTCGAGTGTGTGGCTCTCGAGAGACAAGGTTGTCGGACCTCCGCTACCACTGTGATCGCTCGCGGCGAAGGGAGAGGGGAGCACAGCTAAGGCCGTGTGGACCACCGATTCGACTCTAAAGAATTTCTTGGAATGAGACCTTCCCTCCCTAGGGGAAAGGGTGGGCTGCTAAAGGGAAAATGGACCTAACCCTAACCTTCTCCCACTGGCCCTCGTGGTCCTACCCCAAAGAGGAAAACTATCTCCAGCGAGCCCATCTGTGATGTAGCTGAAAGTGAGCAGAGGGAAGCCTTTCTTACGCACACACGCACACACACACACACACGCACACGCACACGGTCTTTCTGGTCTTCTCTGAATTGCCTGCTCACTTTTCTTCAAAGCCTTGGGCCCTCCAGATGCCTTCTCTCACGTGCAGGTCCCAGAGCAAATCTGCTTTTAGTGCTGCTTTTTTTTTTTTTTTTTTTGTACCAGGAATCAAACTCGGACCCTTATGCTTGCGAGGCAGGCAGAAGAACCAACTGAGCCAAATCCCAGTCGCAAATCTGTCTCTGTATTCATAGAGATACTTTCGGGTATATTTGAGCACTGATGAGGTATTGTTAGGTGTTAAGGGCATAAATGCCTTGCAAGAGCTCACATTCTAGCAGTAGAGACATGTTCGACCAATAATCAGCGTGCAAAATAAAATGCTTTCATAAATACTAGTAATAATCCCATCTAATTTAAACCCCCAGTGTGAGCTTTCCTATAAGCTGAACCTAAACCAGAAGACTGAAGGTGCCAGCCTACCTCTATTTCTAGGCACCTGCTGGGCCAAACCATGTCCAAATACTTTATAAGGATTTTTCTAAGGAAGATGGCTACCCTCTCCGGACAGGTTCTTTCCTTGATACCTAAAGCTGCTTGAACCTGTGGGCCTCTAAGCTAACATGGGCTAATATTTGTGTGGGGTTTGGTTTGGTTTGGTTTGGAACAGGGTCCCACTATGTATTTCAGGCTGGCCTTAAACTCACCAGGTGGAGTTCCCAGGCAGGACTTGAACTTCCGCCTCACCCTCCCAGTGCTGCAATTACAGGCTTGGACTCAGGATTTGGTTCTAAATCCCATCTGCTCCCTCTAACACTTGAGTCTTCATCAGGCCCTAAACTCAGGTTTTGTTGTTTTTCTATTCTGTCCTCCAGATCAAAAGTTACTATGGATTAGTTTTTATTTTCTAGAATTTTTTTAGTAGTTGCAAAGGGGAGGGGAGGGAGGATTTAAAGAGAGATGAACAGGGCAACTTCAGGGATGAATATGTTCATTTTCTTGATTGGTAATTTGGTGTGTGAGTGTGACAACATTTTCTTTTTTTTTTTTTTTTTTTTTTTTTTGGTACCGGGGATTGAACTTGGGTCCTTGTGCTTGCGAGGTAGGCCGCCAAACTGCTAAGCTAAATCCCCGGCCCTGAGTGTGACAACATTTACCAAGTTATGTACTTCAAATGCAGTTTATACTATCAATTATACCTCAACAAACATGGGCAAATTTACAAGACAGGCTGTCCTTTAAAAATTAACTTGAAGCCCATCATGGTGGCGCACGCTTGTAATCCCAGCACTCGGGAGGCTGAGGCAGGAGGATTGCTGTGAGGTTGAGACCAGCCTGGGCTACATAGTGAGTTCCAGGTCAGTTTCAACTGCATAGTGAGACCCTATCTCAAAAAATCAAAAAATTAATTTGAAGCCGGGCATGGTGGTACACGCCTGTGATCCCAGTACTCAGAAGGCTGAGGCAGGAGGATCACTGTGAGTTTGAGGCCAGCCTGGGCTACATAGTGAATTCAGGGCGAGCCTGGACTACTGAGTGAGACCCTGTCTCAAAAAACAAAAAATTAATCTGGGGCTGGGGCTGGGGGTGCACCTGAGTGGTAGCATGTGTGCTTACTCCGAGTGGGCCCTGACTCAGTCCCCTGCACTGGCACATGCACACTTGCACACTTGAAATTATAAATCCTAGTATTCTACAGGGTAACAACTAGGAACTGGGGAATTTGAATCTCACTGTCCATACAGCTCCGTGAGAACAAGAACTCTTTTCCATGCTCTTCCTACTCTACCCCCAGTACCTGGCACACAGGCACACAGGCACACAGGCACACAGTAGACCCCTTAAGTATCTGTTTAATAACGTTACTAGGTAAAGGAGCGAAACTGCCCTCAGGACCAAGTTCCCAATTGAGAGCAGCACTCAGGTCAGAAGCCCCTTGTGGCCCACCAAGTCCCACCAGCCTTAACCACACATTCCAAGCCAGAATAAATCCCTACCAAAGTCCTGTTGCACAGACAGCCCAGGAAGAATAGAAGGAATGTTGGGATTAGAGTTACTTGGGGGAAAAAACTATGATATCAAGGAAAAATCAGGGTTTGGAGTTGGGACAACAGTGTATGAGGTTGTGTGGAATATTATTTTGGAAAACAAGAGGCTGGGTAGGTTCCACTCCTGTCACTCCACTCCCACCGCTCAGTCGTCTGGAATCTGCTTCCAAAAAGCCAAGAGCTAGGCTCCCGTTTCCAAAACTGTTTCCTGCCTCACACGGGAGCTTAGCCCAGCAATCTCCCATCCGGGGACCCTTCCCGTTGCAGTTTCTCCATTCTCTCCAGCCCACACCCCACACACGTTGTAGCAATGTAAGCCCTTTGGTGTTCTCTGTGCACTCTGGGTTCCTTTCCCGTTCAACAGAAATGGCTTGAGCCCCTTTGAAGAAGCGGTACTGCTGCTTCCCTTCTCCACCAGTCCCCGCCTCTCCATGCCCTTAGCCTTAAAGCAGTCTTGCACCCACTCACCAAGCCCCAAAGCCGGCCTGCACCGTCTCTAGAATCTGACCTACATGTTTCAGGTGCTTTTTTCTCCCTCTGCTCAACTCTGGAGCCCGAAGCCTGTCTCCGCTGCCACTGTGGAGCTGCCCCTCCTCCAGCCTCCCCTCCCCTCCCATTTCCTCAGCAGCATCCACCGCTCTTTTCTCTGAACCCAGACTCGGCCTCTGAACACCAACTCCACTTGCCGGGCCGCTGCTGTCCAACCCAGGCTGAGAGCAGGAATGCAGAGGCTTCCGTGTGAGGACCCTCCAAGTTGGTTCCGGATTTCGGGGGAATTCGCCCACCTAGCAGCCTGGCTTGAGGAGAGGCAGGAAAGGCAGAGGTCCTTGGAAATGGCAGAGAGATCTTTTTTTTTTTTTCCACTTTAATTGAGTTTCTTGGTACATTTTAGGGATACAGTACAGTTACATTCATCGTTGGGATCCTGTACCTCTACATGACAGGTCTTGCTTCTCATTTTTTCCCCTTGTTCCTGACCTCCTTTCACACCCTCCTCCCCTCCCCATCTACAAACACTTTATTTCCATCTTTTCTTTATCTCACATTTTTTTCTTTTCCCTTATTACCCTTCCCCTACCCATCCCACCTTCCCTACACCTTTAGCCCTTTTCTTCCCATTTCACAATGTCAGTAATCTTATTAGGCTCTTCTGTATTACTGCAGTTTATTCACACCAGAGAAACTATTTGGTATTTACACGTGTGCCTTATTTCACTTAGGAGTATATCCTCAATATGTATCCATTTTTCTATGACTGAATCTATTTTCTCATTCTTTATGGCTGAGTAATATTCCATCTTATAGAAAAATCACATCTTCTTTATCCAGTTTCCAACTGATGGGCAAAGGGGCTGTTTCCAAGTGAGAGATCATTCTTTCAGTCCAAGAATAGAAGCAAAGGCAAGAAGCAAACTCTGGGTATCCTGTCCTTCTTTTCTCAGGAATCAGACTGTTTTGGTTTTTTCAGACAGGGTCTTGCTATGGAGCCCAGGCTGGCCTTGAATTTACAGCAAGCAACCTGCCTCAGCCTCCCAAGTGCTGGGATTACAGGCTGCACTGCCACACTCCACTTTCTTCCCTCTTTCTAAATGGAACAAAGAATGGTAATCCAACACATTCTTTAGCTCAAGTGTGATGGTGCACACCTATGATCCCATCACTCAGGAGGCTGAGGCAGGAGGATCACTTGAGTTCCAGGCCAGCCTGGCCTACATTGTGAGTTCAAGGCTAGTCTGAACTACATAGCGAGACCCTGTCTCAAAAAAAAAAAAAAATCATTTAACATGTTATTGTACATTAAATATTTTGAAGATAATCCAAGTTTCCCAACTTCCCTTTAAAAAGATCATACCCCTCTACCTAAGGACTCCCTAAATCATAGGAGCAACGGAGTTCTGACTTCTTAGAGCAAGGCGTATTTATATTTCATATATATATTTCATATATCCCACTGTGTTTCTTATTGCTGTTCACTTTTTGTGAGTTTAGGGATGGCTATGGGACTTTGGGGGCCCTGTGGAAAAGAGGGGAGCTTAATGTGGGAATGAGAGTCTTGTCCAACAGGGTAAAGATTCTCTGTAGGGACCAGAGATGAAAAAAAGGGAAATTGGTGCTTCTGTCTTTCCAGAATTTCTGGAAATAAAAAGGTGAGAGATAGGGCCCAGTGGAAGATGTTAGAGCACAAAGGAGAATGTTCTGTACCCTTAAGGGTAAAAGAGGATGCTATGGAAAGGTGGGGCAGGGGTAGATAGATCACGGATTCAGGAAGTAGAGAAAAAGTAGATTGGCCAGGGGTGGAAAAAAAGCTGGGGATAATGGTGCAGACTGCTGAGGCTGGAGGATCACATTTGAGCCCAGCCTGAGCGGTTTTATGAGTTGATGAGAACCTGTCTCAATACATAGATAGATGGATGGATAGGGATACATGAATAGGTGGGTAGACAGACTTGGGATATTGTTCAGTGCAAAGGCCCTGGGTTCACTCCCCAGTGGTGGCAGGGGAAGGGTAGAAAAAGAAATTTGAGAAAGAAGTC